ACTCTTTCTGCACTCAGGGCCAATTGAGCTACTCTTGCAGTGATCACAAGTACTGGTAATTCTTGTTAGAGAAGCCCATTTTATAATTTGGAAACTACTTGTTTTGTTGCTGTTCTATAGAAGGGATTACACAGTTAATTCAGTTACACAATTCTATCATCACACTTCAAACAAGCTTTATTCTCATACACTATGATAATTCAAGGAAAGAAAACATTTGTATTGGAACTTCGTATTTGCTAGCAAAGGCACTTGTAGCACCAAAATCCACCCATCTCTGCTGAAATCTAATCTGCTGCGTCTCTCTCTCTCCAATCATTTGTCTGGTCTCTTCCTCATGATTCTCTATTTACCCATCCACTGACTTCAGCTCTCCAACTCTGGCACTCCAAGTTTCACTCGTGCTTGTGTTGCTCCATTTTTTGTTTCCAAAACAAAACTTTTCTACACCACTGAATTGCCTTTAGCTTCAAATTTTATCATAAAACAATCTTATTTATTTTATCTTACAATTCCTCCCACCTTTTTACCCCTTCTATAGCATTCCTTACAATCCATTTGTTACAACCAGTCTGATAAACCACTACCCGTTCTAAATTTCATGCAAAATAAATCTCTTTTCCGTTCCAGTGTTAATACATCTACTCTCCTTTCTACATCTGAAGCCATCAATATTCAAGATTTGTTTCTGTCTATGTAAATTTGTGGGATAATTTATGCTAACAGACTGTAATGTATTCTTACCTAATGACAGAATCGGTTCTGTTGTACCCTGGGATGGAAGAGGCCTTTTCTCCTGGAGATCCCAAAATTTGAAGTGTTGTATTGATGTCAACCTCAGTTGAATGCTTAATGGAATATTCCATTACTTCTGGAGGTATTAACGGAGTCTCTCCCTGAGTATCATTAGCTAAGAGGTAGCCTTAAGAGATATAGAAGGTCAGTCAACAAAAGTTCACTAACCTAGGTTAAGTTTTTGTTGGATTCTTTTCTGGCTTTATAGCAGACATTCCAAGTCACTGACATAATAAAAATCTATATAAACCCTAACATTAACTTAGTAAGTACCTTAATATTAATTATACACTTCAATTTTCTGTGTGTAAATGGAAGCAGCAGCCCTAAAATTATAAACAAGAAACCAGGCTGAAAGAGTAATGACCAAATAAAATATAGAAATAGTGCCCCATTCAGCAGCAGATGCTATAGCTGATGTCTACAGAGGAGTCAGACTTTATATATGACTAAATTGCTTGCTTTGTTCAGCTTTCTTCTTGTGAAAAATGTGATTTTACAGCTATAATTCATCTCCATTCCACCTGTTAATCCACAGTTGGAATTTCTGTATTGCTAACTTTCTACGCCTGTAAGCAGTTTTTAAAAGCACAGCAAACAAACTAGGAACAACCAGTGTTTCCTTATTTCTTTTGCAAATGTACATCACGTAGACAAAGGCATTTTAAAGCACTTACCTGTTGTCCAGGAAAAAGCATATTCACTCCTGGTTTTATCACAGTTTGAGTTTCATATCATACCCATCAGAGCTAGAGATACACACTTAATCCCATGGGATTAATGTATGGTTACACAAGTAGTATCAATACACTTGTATCAAGAGCTGGGATTATAAGAGATAAAATATTTAAAATGATAAAACCCTGTTTTTTTTTAAATATGCTTTTATGTCATTATTTCTGCCACTGGGACATAGGCAGAGTAAGTAAAGCAATTTGGATTCATGAACAGTTATGAAAGACAACACTAATGAGAGTAAAAATGTACAAACCTACTTAGCATCAGGCACGATGCAGATGCCATTTTAGTTGCATCAATATTTCACTGGAACTCTATATAGGTTGCCCAGCATAACTTGCTCAGGTTTTTGTCATTCATGAGTTATGTAGCCATACCAAATCCTTTGCATTCACATACCCACAAGCAGTCTCAGTTCCTGGGTTTTTTAATGCTAACAACTAGTTGAGTATTTTAGCTGAATATTTTTCAGAATGAATCAGTCAAAAACATATGATAAAAACAGAAGTTAACAAAAAACATATAGCATCTTCTGTTAAAAGGTTGCTTAGCATAACTTTAAGAAAAAATACCCCCATGACCGTTAACATAAAGGAAATAAGACACAATGAAAAAGTTATCTGTCCTGCTACAGCACAAAGAATACATTCATTTGTTCTAGTGTGAAAAGAATACATGCAATGAAAAATAACCATAAAAAACCATAATGACCATATACTCAATTACAAGGATTGGCTATACAGGCTGATGGACATGCAGGCAGGTCTGGTTGAGGAACTGTAATTTCAGGAGCTGTATACAAATGTTTTGTGTTTAAAACTTACTACTAACCTGTGACTAAAATAAGCCAATGGATATCCTCATACAGGTCATCAAGCACTTTATTGTCAATTGAGCCTGATCCTGGTGAGGCAAGTAACTGCTGCTGATGCCTTTGTAACTGACCATGGAGCCTCGTCACTCGGTCTTCTAATAAACTGAGAAAAGACAATAACAAAATTAATGCAGCCGCTTAACTAAACAAAAATTTTGCTTAACACGAGACTTTAATCAGATTATTTAAGCAAAAGTATAAGAGTTTTATTAATTACTCTGTACCTTGTAAGAAGAGGTATACAGTGTTCTGCAGCAATTCTTCCCAGCATGCCAACACTTGCCAGCTGGTCAGAAAACTGGTCTCTGTCATCTTCCTGCAGCTCGCTTATTTCTTCTTCCTCACGAGAGGCTACACCATTGGCAGTCTGGTTTCATTTTAAAGAAGTTAGAAGTAATCAATTAGCATTGTACCCGTTTCAATCTTGTTAGGAATACCATTAAAAATCTCTTTTCTGTTATTTATTTTAAAGTTGTTTTAGGAGAAAGGCCACAAGTAGAAACAATTTAAATGCACCAATATCTTTATTAGATATTTGAGTTCGTCTCATAAAAGATATCGGATTTACCCAAAAAACCTTGCCTGCCTATGTCCTTAGACATCCTATATCCCAGGATGTGTGTCAAATAATTAAGAGAAGAATTGCTAAATTAATAAAATATGTACTCCAATATACAATATAAAAACTCCATCCAAGTCCCAAATTCACTGAACAAAACATGTTCATTTTAACTTCAGATCTCTTTCAACTTGAGAAACTGCATTGTTTGAGAAAGGACCCATACTCCTGAAAAACTGAAGCTGTTAATCTATATAAAAGGAATAGCTTGACAGAAGCAAACTGACTTCTTCACATTCCTCTGTTTTAAACCCTGTTAAGGAGTATTGCTTCTCAGAGATAAAAAAAATAGTTCAGTCTTTAGGATGGTTTATAAATACAATTTGTGACTGACAGCCAGTGTAACCATTCAGTCTAAGTCAAGCAAAGAAGGGCTACAAGAGCTAAAACTATATTCTGTACTGGGGTGGGCCAGATCCAGCCAGTAGCAGACTCCATTTCCCAGCAGTCCCTGCCTGCATGGCTGTGGCTGGTCACCATGGAGACCCCAGCCGCATGTATGCTGCAATAGTGCAAGGCTGCAGTTGCCATGAAGGCTGGCCCCAGCCTCACTGACAGGGCGCACGGCAGAGCTGGGCAGGGCAGGGCAGGGGGCTGCTCCAGAGCCTCTGGGATCTTGTGCTGGGGGAAGCTTGGTTGGGGCCAGGGCAGAGCTGTGATCTGCAGCCTGCATGCCCTGGGCAGGGGCATTCAGGCAGTGGATCACAGCTCTGTCCCTGCTCCAAACCAGGCTGTCACCACTGCAAGGAGCCGGGACAGAGCTACGATCTGCAGCCTGCACGTCCCTGCCCAGGACGTCCAGGCTGCAGATTGCAGCTCTGACCCAGCTCCTTACAGCAATGACAGTGTGGTCCCAAGCCAGGGTACAGCCCCGACTTGCTGCCTGCACGTCCCTGTCCAGAGCGTGCAGGCTGCAGATTGTGGCTCTGCCCTGGCCCCAACCAAGCTACCTCCGCTGCAAGATCCCAGAGGCTCCGGAGCAGCCCCCTGCCCTGCCCAGCTCTGCCGTGCGCCCTGTCAGTGAGGCTGGGGCCAGCCTTCATGGCAACTGCAGCCTTGCACTATTGCAGCATAGCTGCAGCTGGGGTCTCCATGGTGACCAGCCACAGCCATGCAGGCAGGGGCTGCTAGGAAATGGAGTCTGGCTGCTGGCTAGATCTGCCATTTTGCCCGCCCTTGCTCTATACTATACAAACCTTAAGCTGGAAATTTTACTAGCCACCTCCATTCATGAGGCACTGCATGAAAAATGTTGCCAGTTCTTGATATTTTACTGTGAATTATTCCATTTATGGTATTTCTGAAAACCCAGCTTCTGGAGTCTTGTGATTGCTGAGAATCTAAGCTCTTATTAAAAGGGGGAAAAGTTTCTAGACCTTATTGTTTGCACAGAAAAGCTTGGAAAACTGAACACTAAGGGCTCAAAACCTAGAAGGCAAAAAAACCCAAACAAACACTTAAATTTTTATTTTAGATTTCATGATTTCAATCACTCTTAATTTTTTTAAATGTATGTTGGCAATACTATGAAATCAATCGAATATCGTAACTTATTTCCACAAACAGGCATGCTACAATGCTAAGAAAATTAATTTCAAAGTTTAAAGGAAGAAAAATAAATATTTTTCTCATTAAGATCATGGAAGGGAATACATAAGGAATTCATAAGTTAAATATGAAACTGCGTTACTGGATTAGAAAGGAATAGCTAACTTTTTGCAGTTTTCTATAAAGGGACTGGGATGTTGAATCCAAACCTTAATTCCTCCCAAAGTGCTTTCAAGCCCCTCCTTTCTTTATCTAAACCAGCAAATAATTCTCTTTTGGCAACTTCAAAGCTGCAGCTGCTTAATGAAGAGTGCTTCTCTATTTGAAAGTTCCAGGCACTGCTTTGATATTGAACAAGAAGCATTCTGAAATGCCAGCTGTGGCTTTTACAAGGTTACCCATGGGATAAATGACTTATCTCACAGAAGGACATGTATTAACCTGTGTATACAAGTTATGTCAAGACTGCATGATATGAATTCAAGGGTCTCTTGAAATGTTTTTCTCTACTTTGGCATTCTTATTACCACCTGTTACCTATCTAAAAGATGAGAGTTAGGTTTTACATGGTACTTTTCAGAGTTGAAGTCTCTCAGTACCTTGCATACTATCAAGTTAGATATTGTTGATGCAACAAAAACTGGACAGTCATTAACATGCTCAACATTTATTTCCAACTTTCTATTTCAGAATCTGTTGTAGTATAATGTTGAAAAAGAGGCTCCCCCCACCCTTAAAAGTGCCTTAGTCACTGAGCCACAAAGTCAGTATAGACCTTGGTTTACACCATGTTATCCAAAAGAATAGATTAAACAACACCACATTTTCTCCTAGTTTGAATCCAATCCCGCCACATCTGACAAGATTATATATGTTTGTTACGCAACAAAAGGGCACAGTGAATTAGAATTTGCAGTTAATACACAAAGAGCATTAGCAGTCGCATTAAAGTCAGAATTTCACTGAAGAATTTTGGTCCTAGTAAACTGTTTAGTGACTGAAACCAAAGAAGTAACAAAGGATGCAAGTAAAATTTGAACTTGAGGTCTATTATATAATTAAATAGATCACATTTTTAATAGGGCCGTGTGAAATTTCGCTGGGTGTTTTGTTTCGAAGCTGTTTTGATGAGTTTCAAGCTCAAAACAGTGAAATCAAAATGAAACAAAAGGCTTTGAAAAAGCTTTGAAACAAAATGAGGGTCGATCTTGCTTGCAGCTAAACAGAAACTAAGGAGACAGAGGGGGAAGAAGGGGGAGAAAGACTTCTCTGATATTGACATCTAGCTTCCTGTTCGATTCCCCAGCTCTCTGATTGCTTCCCCCAGCTCTTCCCAGGGGGCGAAGGCCCCCGGATGACGTGGGATGACAGTAGGCTGCCATTGCCAACTGGAGACGAGGGGGGCTCTGGGCTATTTCTCCAGCTGGCAGCAGCAGCCTGCTGAAACCCTGCGCGCAGATCCAGGGGCCTGCACCCCCTGGGAAGGCTGCAGAACTGTGCCAGACTCCTCCTGAGGGACACGGACCCCCAGATGTACGTGAAGGATGACAGCAGGCTGCTGCTGCTGGCTGCGACCAGCTCTTGGTGCAGCCCATGCTGAGTGCCAGGAAGACTGGTGCTGCCACTGGTCCCAGCCGGCAGCAGCAGCCTGCTGTCATCCCACATGCAGATTCGGGGGCCTGCGCCCCCTGGAAGGGCTGAGGGGCTGTACCAGACTCTTCCCAGGGGCCTGGGTCCCCGGAACTGCGTGCAGGATGACAACATGGTGCTGCTGCCACCAGCCCAGGCCAGCACCAGCACTGAGTTCTTCCTGGCGCTCAGCACGGGCTGCACCAAGCAGACTCGGGTGCTGACGCTGGCCTCAGCCGGCAGCAGCAGCATGCTGCCATCCTGTGCACACATCTGGGGGCCTGCGCCCCACCAGGAAGAGTCCAGCACAGCCCCACAGCCCTTCTGGGGAGCACAGGATGACAGCAGGCTGCTGCTGCTGGCAATGATAAGAGTTTTGCTTTAAACAGTTTGAGGTGCAGTTTCCCAGAAGCCCCTGAGCTTGACAGGATTCATGCCCTCAGAAGGGGCTACCATCCCTGCAATTTTTATCCAAATCATGCAAGAAATGACTAAGTTATAGGCATTTTCATGATTCCCCATTATAGCCAATGGGCGAAACGTCAAAATGCATCAGAACAATGAAACAGTTTCAACTAAACGAAACGGAACCGTGGTTTGAAACAGCAAAATGAAACACTGTCACTTCAGAGCGGAAGTCGAAATGAAATGGTGCTGTTTTGCACAGCTTTAATTTTTAAATGCATTCTTCACCCAGTCCCCTTCCTTTCTTTTCAAGATAAGCAAACAGGCTGGGAAAAAGATTTTCCTTATGAAAACACAGCAAGATACAAGTTCCCTCCCCTCACGCCTGATGCTACTGCTAACTAATTGAATTAAAATTCTGTGTCAGTTCTGTCAAAGCTAATTAAGTATAATATATTAAAGCAATGTTTATTTATGTATATACTTGGGCTAGAGACAGAAATTCCACGTAAATCAGTATAAGTGACTGGAAATCAGTTCAAATCTGTAACACAACAGAAGTTCAGTGCACATGAACCACTTTCCAAATGGCTGAAACCAGTTTAAGATAAACCTAGAAGGATTAGAAGGATGTAGTATCAAACTTAACTGAGTTAGATTAAATTAATTTATTGAACTTCGGTCCCTGATCCCCTCCAGATTCAAGTTAACCCAGAGCCCCCCAACATGTCAGGATGCTTTGCACCTCCTCTGCAAACCCCCCATCAAAGGGTGGGTGGGCTAGCTTTGGTCCAAGCTGTCTGCTCCAGCTGAGCAGGGAGGCGTGTTCTAGTGCCCCCTGCTTCTGGCCTGGGCCACTGCAGGCATGTGGCTGTGTTTCTGGAATCAAAAGTGAATGTCTGTTCACTTGCTTATCAGTGCAATCTACATAGCTTAAATTAAACTGCAAAGATTGAATCAATTTAGCCTTGGGCTTTTTGACTGTCTGTACTTAACCTAACAGATTACTCATTTTGCCCCCAAAAGAACTTAGGTTAAGAGCTTACCAAATTCCTTGTACCATCGGGAGCAGCTAGGTGGCACTGAATATAAGAGTTAAAAACCTGAACAGCATGTTGGGTAAAGAAGCCTTTATGGAAATGTTTGTCATCTTGTACCAAAGTAAGCCAGGACTCCAGCAATTTATCATATGCTTCCATGTATACCATGTCATCTTTGTCAAGCTGAGAGAGGAGAAAAAAAAAGGGCTAGTGTCAAATTGAAAACTAAGACCAAACAAAGCAGCAGTAGGAACATAGAACTGGAAGGGTCCTTGATTTGACTCCCGCCAACCACTGAACACAGCCATACATACACACCCCCTGCAATACGCTGCAGAACAGAATGAGAAATGAGGGTACCGCCAGAATCTTGGCTAGGAGTTCATTTGGACCAGCTTCCATACTCCAAAAAATGCAAAAACCCCTCAAATAATTCTTGCCAAACTGACCTGGAAGGAGGGCTAGGCATACTCCTTCCTGACCCCAAATCTCACAGTCAGTTTACCTGCAAGCATGTGAACAAGACCTACCACATGAAATTTTAACAGATATGCTGTGTGTTTTCTTTAGCAAGTTGAATTCAGTTGCAATTACTATGAAAGAGATACGAATGTAATTAAATTGAAATGATCTAATAAGTTTTTAGAAAACTGCTCCCTACACCTGATGTTTGAACAACAAAAACCTTTTCTGAAATTATATGCTTAAAAGGCTTATTATTGAGGCCAAGATGTTTAGAGCACAGGTGTTGAAGCCTAGGCACCTAAATTAAAATCCCCATTACATATAAGCACAGCAAGGCCTCAACCTTGCAAATTAAAAACATAAAAGGATTACACCTTAAAACAAGGCTATCAAACTTTTGTGGCTGGAAGCCCTTTGGGCTACATCACACTCCTGTGTGCCCCTCACCTCCCCTTCACTGCTGCATCATTAACCCATACCTTCCCCACCACTGTACAGCATGCCTGCGCCCTCCTCTCCAGCTGCTGCACCACACATCCAAGCAGGCTCTACCCCTCATTCCTACAACATATGCCCATGTGGCTCCAGGCTCACTCTCAGCTCCTCAGCTGTGCCACTCTGCACTGCTGCACCCCCAGGGGCTGGCAGCCAAAATCAAAAAAGGGAAGGGGAGCCTGGAGACTGGCTGCTCTTCCAGTTGGAGCAACTGGGTGGGGGAGGAGGGCAGAGCGGTACCTGGGGAAAGATCCTGGGGGCTGATCCTCACAGGCTGCCAGCTGCAGAGCCATAAGTGCATATTAGCCAACTGTAAGTGCATGTAATGTGTACACACCTCAAAAAGTAAACACTCAAAATACCCAAGTGTCATTTCTAATTATTCATAAGTGCCATGCAGAGATGGAAAAGAGTAAGATGCCTTTCAATAGAAGGAAACAAATTTCTAGCTGGCAGAATGACTAAGAAGCCTCTTTCCCGAATTAAAAAAAAAAGTTCTCTTAACATTGTTGGCCTAAATCTTGAGTATTTCAAGGCTGAATTTACAAGTGGGCTATAAAATGTGTATAATCTCATACAGCCACTCTGCCAAGGTCTAAATCAGAAAAAAAAACATTCTGCATCCAATAGGCTTGAGCAGTAAGCTTGTATTAAATGAGACCAAAATTGTGCCTTGATAAAATAACACATTGAGATGACTAAGGCTATGTACAGACATTCAAAGAGGTTAGACTGCATTAAAAATAGCCACTCGATCTAAAGGGGAGGGCAGGCAGGGTCCGTGGAGTTGCTGGGGTCTGGGAGGGTTTGGCAGGATATGGGAACCTTGTGGGGTCTGCAGGGAGTTTGGGGAGGCTCTCTCCCCCACACCCTGGGGTCAGGGGCTATTTTTAGCCCCCTGACCCACCACCCTCAGACAAACAACCCCTCCCCAGTGAACACTCCCATCCCTCCTGCCCCTCTCCACACCCTGATTTGTTCAGCTCCCAGCATCGGCTAACCCTGATAAAACCAGCATGGGGAGTGGCTTGCACGAATGTGGGTGCTTGGTGAGTGAGGGAGGGGGGTTGGTTGGTCCATGATGGGGTTGTCTGTTCTGGGATGGGAGGAGATGGACTGGGGTGGGGGGAGGGGGGTGTGTGTGTCCAAGAATAGACTGGTGCCAGAGTAGGGTAGGAAAAGTGCAGCCCCAGGGTGTGGCCAGCAGCTGGGCTTTCCTAGCCCTGGGGCTGTACTGGGAACTGTACAGAAGTTCAGTTAGATCAGTCTCACCCGACCTCAGCTAAGTAAGTCTTCCTCTGAGGTACACTTAGCTTAGATTGGGTCAGCCATTTTTAGACCGATCTAACTGTCCTGAACTTCTATACAGTTCATGCACAGATCCACCTAACTAATGCAAAGTATGCACCTGGGCAAACTAAGTTAGATCAGGTGGCTATTTTTAATGTGATCTAACCTCCCCCTAATCTCCCTGAACATCTGTACCCAACCTAAGGCTTTAAGTCTGCTCCAGATAAGTGCCTAATGACCTTGTAAGATCTAACAGCAAAGGACCTCTTTGAGATGGAAATGCAAGCAAAGGAAGGGAGGGGTGGGGAAGAAAGAACTGGCAAAAGGACTAAGCCGGAATTCTGCCACCATTTTGGAAACAAATATTTTACAGACAGTTTTAAAGCATCGTTCTCTGTAAATTGAACTTCTTCTTTTTTTTTTTTTTTTTGAAAACAAGAAACACTCAACTATCAAAGGGGAAAAAATCAAGAATAGAGGAAAACAAGACCAGGAGCATGGAAAATATTATTTAATACAAAAAAATAGAAGCTAGACAGCATAGCGTATCTTTATATAAGAGGACCTGGGAAAAATAGCTTAATACCTGGAAAGATACTGGAATAAATTATTAAACAATCAAGCTATAATCACCTACAGGATCATATGGTATTAAACAGCCAACATGGACTTATCGAGAACAAATCATATTTTAAAAAGTCTAATTTTCTTTTCTGATAAAATAACTAGCCGACAAGATAACGGGGAAGCGTATCTTTACTAAATCTTTTGACACCATCCTAAATTATATTCTCATATGTAATCATGGCCTTAACACAATCATCACAACCTGCAGTCAACGTGTAGCTTTTGCATTGCTGTCAAATGTGAGGGCATTTCCCTCACAACCTTTTTTATGGCTCTGACCTGGTTTTGATTTTAGGCAATGTTTTCATTAGCTATTTGGACAATGGGCAAGGGTACGCACAAATTTTGTGAACAAATGAGTAGGGAATACAACCAAACTGCATGGCAGGATCAGAAATCAAAACAATCTTGAAAAATTGGAGAAAATAGTCCAAAATCAACAAGATGAAATGCAGTGAAAAGAAATACGTAGTGCTTCTCTTAGGAAGGAGAAATCAAATGCAGTTTAAAAATGTTGAATAACTGGCTAGGCAGGAAAAAAAGTAGCTAGTGATTAAAGCGAGGCACAAGCTATATAGGAATAAACAACCCAGTGCCATTAAAAGAAGGTTGAAGTCATACTGGGATATATTAAAGGGAGTGAGACATCAGATACAGAAAGCAATTATTTTGCTCTGGTTAGCACTGGGGAGGCCTCTGGCAGAAGAGTGTCTCCAGTTTTGGTCAACACATGAAGAAAGACAGTCAAGCTGCAGTGCATCCAGAAGAGAGCAGCGAGGAAGATGAAAGGTTTGGACAACAGGACCCGTGAGGAAAGGCTGTAGAAACCAGATCTGTATTCTCTAGAAAGAGACAGCAAGGGGAAGGAACCTAATAAACAAGCACTGCACAGCATTAAAGGTTCTTCTGGAGAAGATGGTACTTAAATGTTCCCTGTGTCCACTGCAGGCAGGACAAGAAAAACAAAACACCACAACAAGAACACAAAACAGTCTTAATTTGCAGAAAAGGAAAAAAGTGTTAGATATTAGGAAAAAAATCCCTTTTGGAATAAGAGCAGTGAAGTACTGGAATAGGCTACTTGGGACATTTTTGAGACTACATTAAAAAAAAAAAAAAAAAAAGCTTCCATTAAGGTATGGTCTAGTTGAGTGTTTTTCAACTAGTTTTAGAGGTTGGGGGTTCTGGGTAATGGCTGAATAGGCTGCGAGGCAGTGTGCCACCACTATCAGGTTGGCTCACCTGGCTCTGCAACCTCTCTTTAGGTAGTGGCAAGGATTCTGCAGCAGAAGCAGTGATATTAAAGGGTTTTATGACTTTAAAAAATTTAAAAACCAGTGGTCTAGTTAAACTGGATCCTGGATCTGTATAGGGTGGATGGTCTAGTTGATTTCTTAATGTTACTTCAAGCCTTTCGGCTTCTTTGATTCCATAGCCAGTCATAGCCTGAGCCTGGGGCTGGTCCTCAACAAATTTCTCTTCCCACAAAACAGTTTATCCCATCCCTTTTAAAAGAAAATAGTTAAGAAGCATTGGTTATTGAAGTCATCACTATGCATTTATAAAGTTTGGTTTCCCTTGCATTAGCTTTCTTTCCTATTCTTTTCACTTCTCCACCTTCACAACCTTTTAATATATACATACACTTCTTCCAAGCCATTTCTCCTTTATCATTGTACAACATGTAAAAACTGTTCTCTCCGTCTCTTCCCAACCAAGTTGCTTTTCAAGTTCCACTGCTCCTTCTTCCTATCCTCCACACAAACTTCTACATTTGGACACTGGCAGAGATTTTTTTTACTGTCAAAAGTGTCATCCACAAAAAAGTAATGTTTGTAGATGGACTGGTGTCCCTGCTGCTACTTTCTAATTATTGCTTGGAGTAGATTATTTCCCTCTAATTAGTTTGTAGGGTTTGGGTTTTTTTAATGGGTCTCTTAATAGTCACTGAGTAAAAGAAAGCACCTAAATCCATCTAACTTTTCATTCTAAACAGAAGCCATAGTAAAGATTTATTCGGCTGGATTCTGGGTTTTTTTGTAAACAGAGCAAATTGATTTCCACACACAAGTCTTCAATAAAATCAAATATTTGCTTGATTAAAATGACAACCCATAGCATTTTTGGTATGCTGAAAAAGTTCCTGGGACATTATGCCAATACGCTGCTAAAGCCAGGACATAGCTCTTTAGAGACTTTATTATAATAAACTGAATTATCTACTAGGGCCTGAAACTTACTCACTGAATCTCAACACTGAATGCCAACACAAAAATAACCACTGCAAGAAACACAAGTTCATAGGTGTAGAATAATTTTTGCAAGGGTCCCCTAGCACTAGGGCTTTGCCTACCTGGCACTAAACTTATTTCCCTTTTCTGATAGATAAATGGCTATTAGGACTCTGTTAGTGACACATTTCCCAACCTCACACCTACAGAATTCTGAAGGCACAGTCCTGTCTATTCAGGTTGACTACCTGCATACGAATACTGGACATGCAGGCACAAATACCGAATATTAGGATATGCATAAGAATATTACAATATGTAGCCACAGATATTGCACATTTGTAAACATGCTGTACCAAAACAAACTCCAAACTGGTAGTGACATTCCTCTATTGGAAGCAGTCAGCACTTGTAAAAGTATGAACAGACATCACCAAATGAAGCAGACTGGCTGTGGCATGATGTGTCCAATGTGCTTCATTGGGCAAAACATGTTGCCCATTGTCCCACAACAGGCAGGGGCCCAATCCTGCAGAACAACAGATGACATGTCCCATACTTAGAGATACACCTTGAAGAGTCCCCTAGGGCACTTCTCTACAAAAGAGGAAAGCCAGGGTTCCCCACTTGCAGAGACATGCCCTGTGCAATCTCTGGGGTATGCCTCTGCAAATGTGGACAGGGAACATCCTAGAACATTTCCAAGGTGTATCTTTATAAGCAGGGAAAGCCAGGCTGGTGCTCCTGGGGCTTGAGGGGGCTAATCCTGTATAGGAAGTCCTGGGGGTGACTGGAGAGCATGAGCAGCTCTGGACTGACCACACTTTCCCACCATAAACTTAACACACATCTGCTGCAACAGAGTGGCACAAATTGATACCACCTATGAAGCGGCCACAATTTTGGGGCATTTGTGGCATGACAAAAGGTATGAACATTTATTTTGACTGAAGCACAAATGCAGCATCTGTTCTACCCTAAGTTCTACAACAAAGTATTTCAAAAACAGAGAAGTTTTCCTAGAAAGTATGCTTTTTCACCAAATAAAAACTGAACACTTCTAAGATCTAGGTGCCTGCAGCCTCCTGCTGTCATGGATATCAGCAAACCTCTATAATATACTGCCTTTCCTTTTCACCTGATGGCAATGTGTTACTTCATGTTTAAAATTTCTTGCGGTCTCTCTTCCTGATGCTGCTTCACGAGACAAAATTTAAGGGGAATACTTTGACAGAATTTTCCTGAAGCAATTCTGTAATCCGGTCAGGCTGCCAATGATTCATGCACTCTGGGTAACCCAGGTCATTGGCGTAAGAGGTTACTTAGTCTCCTTCCAAGAAGGCAGGAGTTTGAGGCAAGAACTGGTACAAACTGAGAATTTACTGCTGCTTGTTATTGAGAAATGGAGTGTTCAACTCCTGTGTATACTAAGCACCAGATCAGAATATGTAAGCTGAATTCAAGCATCCCCCTGTGGGATGAGGATACTTGTGGAACAAAAAATTAGTGACTTTGTATTGTTTGATACTATACCCTCATCTTTTCTCCAAAAGGTTCACTGTTGCATGACATGCTTATCATTTGCACAGAGTTAGGCAGGTAGCCAAGCCTGTCAGCAGCACAAGCATCAACTGCATCTAGTTTCCCTGTGCTGTTATACAGTATGCAAAGTGAAGCACAGGTGAAATCTGAGAAAATGCAGTATTTAAGATTTCTGCAGTCAGTCAGATATGCAAATATCACCTTCATTTTAGAGATTAGGGAATAGAGAGCCTCAGAAAGATTGAGTTCCTCACCTAGATAATGCTGTGGCCTAATGGAGTAGCAGTCAAGACACGGTTTCTAACACACTGATGTGCTGCCTGACCGGCCCCCTTCACCTGGTGCCAGAACACAACTGTAGCAGATCAGCTCCAGGTAATGTATCCAGTGCACGGGGCTAGTCTGCAGGCCTAATTTGGCCCACGGACTGGCCCTGTGCCACTCATCTGGTGCACAGGGCCAGGTGAGTTTGACACCTCTGCAGTAAACAAGAGCAGAAAAAAAAGCCTCTTGGTTGCCTGACCAGCCAGATACATTAAAATGTCACCTGAACTGCGTCAACTATTACAGCATACTTAAAAATGGCCACTAAAATAGTACAGGGTCAGTGATAGGAAACATAATAGCTGCATTCATTTAAACAGAAGTTCAAGCTTCAGAAACCCCAACAGCAGTAAGTTAATTTGCCCATATGTTCACAAAGCCATTCCAATCTTTCAGATCTGTATCTCATTAACTGTTTATAAACATTTCTCATTCAGGTATATTTGCTAGTGAAACTAAGAAGTTAAGATGGCTAGTTTGACAAGTATTTTAGCCAACATTTTAATTAAAGTTTGATTAAAGTATAAATAGATAATTATTTATAGAATGATGTGTAATGTTAATTCTGTTGTTCCGACTAGCAGACATTCCTCTCATGTGAGATTAGAATAAGATCTAAACGTTAACAATCTCTCTTCTCTCTCAAAACAAACAATGCTAATCACATACATCACAGAATGAGTAACAAATATCCAAGCTCAACTAAGTCACAATAAATCTGCTAAGGTCTCATTTCACTCAAGGTATGCTTTTTCAGAGTATGGCAAAATTAAACGTCATAAATTATCCAAAAATCAACTGTAGTTTGAGAACAGGTACTCACCACTTCTTCCAGTGCAGCACTTCTCCCAAAAGAACAGGTCAGGTGTGTGAGGCAGTTAACAAATGAAGAGAAAAGTTCACTTGGAATGGCAGTTAAAATATTGCGAGGAAACACGGTTATCAGGTTGCTGATAATACTAGAAATTCCCACTGCTTCAGAGTCCTCTATTTCAATTCTATAAAAGGAAACAGCAGTTACCTCTTTTATCATTCAGAAATACCACCAAGAAGCTGGAATATTTTATTGATGGATTTTCTGCAATAAATAAGCTAAAAGATGCTTTTATATGCACTTTATATTCTTTCTGCATTTTAATAATACAACTCCAAACACACACAAGGCAAAAAGCTATTCCGGCTCTCCCTGCTCACCACTTCACTCCTCTCCAGAGCAAAGATTAAAAGAAGATGCCACCTAAATTTAAAGGGCAAGCATACATACCCATTGATAGTATTCAATAATCCCTCAATGAAGTGTGCCAGGTAATCAACTTGTGAGCCTTCATCAGGAAATATTGGCCCATGTAGAGAGGCTAGCTGTGCTAGGCACTGTAGTGAGTCTTGTGCCATATCTGTATCTTCTCTGATTTTTCGATGTACCTTTCAGGGAGTGAGACAGTTAATACATGGAAAAATAGGGTGTTCTTACAACAGTCACATGGCTCTCTCTGAAAGAGCATACACCAAAAAAAGCTTACTATAATTTCCATTCAATCTGAAATAAGGTAGCATCTGCAGCTCTCTAAGCCACAGCAAGCGTCAATATTGCTCCTCAGATTACTAATTCCATGAGCCAGGAATTAACCCACTAAAACTAAAGGTTTAACAGAGTCCTACCTACATTTTGAAAATTGAACTGTCTTCAACACGTTATGTCTTAAAGAGAGAAACAGATGCCAGCCAGTCAGACATGCTGCTCCTTCTAAAAACAGCAATTATGACAGTCATTTGTATTATGCTAACTATGCCTAGGCTATAGCGTCTTGCTAAAGTTAGTTGACAAGTTCAATCAAGATAGTACGGATGCTTCTTTAGCAGAGGTAAACACTGAAGACAAAAAACAAGCACCATCTGACCCTTGGCAACACCTTTATATTTACCTAAGACTACTAGTAAAATCTTTTCCCATTTCTGTGAGCTAAGTAATACATCATTACTTGTGTAGTTACACAAGTATTTTAGAGGAAAAAGTTAAATATTTCAATAAAATGCATTTTAAAAGAAATGTTAACTATTTATTGTGGACTTTACACTTTTTTGAGTAAGCATTTCGTTTTTCCATATAAGGGTACTACAAGTAAGTATAGTTTGAAGAACATCTTTAGAGTCCTTTCCATAAAATTGTGCTTTCAATTAAAGCAAAGTTAAATCTCCAACTGCATTTCAAATTGCACCCCATTGAAAAGTTATATAGCTATTCTGAGCCTCTAAGTTACACAAATGCACAAGTTACAAAATATTTAAATCTTTGGAAATACCATAATACATTAAAATATCTGGAAAAATAGTATTAAAATCAATCCTAATCTCCAACTTCAAATTATAATAAAACTTGTTAGGTCAAGTCATGCGATTACAACTATGAGCATTTATTTATTTTTTGTATTTGAACAAGAATTTCTAAAGAGGAAAATGATGTATGACTTCAACTGAAAAAATTAAAGCAGCAAGACTCAACCATTGCAAATCAGGAGTTTGAAAACAAAAGTAACATTCTACCTGGTGTCCTTTTGTAAATATTTTTTTAAAAATTAAATATTCTTTAGTTACCATTAGTCGTCTTCATGTTATTGGTAACTGTTGATTTTTAAGTAACAATCAATTACCTCAAGAACAATCCAGAAGCCAGAAATTTAACTCAAAGACTTCTTAGTACAATTAAACTAGAAAGGGTTAACCTGCAAACCCAAACGGTATTTGCATGAGGAGATTCACAGCTGACAGTAGCAACTGTCTGGGTCATCTAGACAGCTGTTCAGATTGTGTGTGGCTGTTAAAAGTTTTGCCAGCAAGTTTTTTACCTTTCCAAAAAAATGCTGAAGCAAAATATGCTTTCAAACAAGTAAATCTCCTTTGTAAAAAGCTAAACATCAAAGTGCATCCACATTCTCACATCAGACAATTCTAAAATAGTACAAGAGATTTACACAAACAGTTTGTCTAGTAATCACCTTGGCAGTAATTTGTTCTGCACAAGGGATCTCTGCCTGGAAGAACGCTGAGCTCTAGGATCCCAGGATGCAATATAAAACAAAATTAAAATAACTAGTTTACATATATTTTGTAAATGTTGTTGTTGTGCTAATTTAGAAAAAAAATGAAAAAGTAGTAAATAATTTTAAGCCAACTTTGAGATTTTAAAAGTTACATAAAACAGGCCATGTGTTTCTGAGGATTACCCCACTCCAGTTTGTAGACCTACTATTGATCTATTAGGTTTATATCCAGTTGGTGCATATGTAGGGATATGGGGAAGAGAGGATTTAGATGCTGAAATCAGCTGGAAAAAAATGCAAAGATACTTCTGTTTTCAATTATTTTGTTGAGCTAAATGCTACAGCAGCAATGAAAACCTGTCACTCAGTTATTTAAACAACTGCAACACCTTAACTGAAAATGATACTTTGCACTGTTCTATAAGCTCGGTTGCATCTGATGAAGATGTTGGTCCACAGTATGAAAAACATATATACACTGATAGTTACTAAGATCAAAAGATAAAAGGCACTTCATATGCACTGTACATCTTGAGCACTTAGAAAAAATGCAATAATTCTTCAGATCAGAACTCTGATTAATGCAGTAAATCCTACCTGATATATCAGGAAGAATCGAACAATAAATTTTTACAAGATGATGGAGCTGCTCCCCTGTGGTTTACACTAGGAAAGCTGAAGAAGAATGAAACTTACTGTAAAGAAAAGTTCCATAACTCTGCTGTCCAGAAGGGTCTCACGCCAGGACTCTGTTGGCTTTAGCATCACATTTTGTGAGGATTCAAACATAGCTATATAATGTCTGCCCAGTTATCTGGTGTCAAGGTCAACAATAACATTCCTACTTGGCTTTAAAAAAAATCCTAGATACAACAGGACCCATTCAGAAAGAATGTAATGGAAACAAACTTTAAGCCTCTTGACATACACAGCATAATTCATGCATGAGGCCAAGGAATAAAAGGTATTAAGTATTGAAAAAAAGAATGTTTCAGGAATGTCAGATAACAGTTTGATCATAATTATGAGACATACCATAGTGATACGATCACTTTGATAACCAGGGTGTCTAATGTGACAGGGGGAGAAGGGAAAAAACCCACTGCAATTAACAGGTGTTAAAATTTATACAAAATGGGAAATCATTTTCTAAAAATTTTTTCCTGGCAGCTTTTATAAAGGCTGTATGAGAGCTAAAGATAGCTCTTTGAAACCTATATCCTATTTTTCTAAATAGCCAAATATGCTGCATAGAATGAAGATATGTTAGCCCTGTATTAATCTAAATTTTTTATCATGCTGTGAAGAACAAAGGCACAAGGCAACACAAGTCATTGTCATATAAAACATATGTTGCTAAAGGAGAAACATAAGGGCATGCATGCATTTCACCAATGTATTCACTGAAGATATCATTAGACACCCCCCCCATCTTTTAACCTTAAATTATTGAAAAATATATAGCTTTGAAGTTTGCAAATGATCTACAGCTAGAGAACCAGAAATGTGAGAAACCATTTAACAAACATGCAAATCCCAGCATTCTGCCTCAGTTTATAACCTAGAATGCATTTTTGTGCACGTTTTTCGTGTACTGTGCGTACCACTGCATTGATTAAAGTAATCAAATATATGGCTTTTAATTCATCAGATAAAATCAATTTCTAGTCAATAAACACTGTTTATTACTATACTCGAACAACTCAGTAAGTTCCACCCAACTGATGCAATTAATGGAATGCGTAAGTAACTGAAGATCTTTTTTTAAAGACCAAAAACCCCTCAAATACAGTAGTATATGCAACAGTGTAAGGGTAACTAAATAATTTTATTTTATTGCCACCTCTCTGAGGAGGGTTCATGAGTGCTGCAGTGAACCAAAATACAACTCAGCACCGATTGCACATAGTAAAAGTCTGTTATAGTGAAGTCATTTTTTCCACAGGACAGCCTTATTGCAATGCAAGCTGGAGGTGTCCTATAACCAGGACTGCAAACAACATTGTAAAGGACTTTCATTCTACTTCAATCAAAATTTACCAATGTGTACATGAACATTACTGGATTACTAAAGATGCACTGTCGTACAGTAAGCATGAAATAAGGTTTCTGTTTAATCTCTGTGTGAGATATTGATGTTTAAAGTATCTTTAAGTGCTTCAGTTTCTCCTGATGAAAACAAAACATGGACATAAATTATTATTATAAGCAAGCATCCCTCACCAAAACTTCATATTGCAGAGAAAGTTATGCGCTTAGTGTATTTCACAGAATCTTGTAGAAGCCTAAACTGCACATTAAAGGTTTTTCTTTCCTCTTTGATGACAATCTTACAGAAATACAGCAAGATTCCTTTACTTGTTGTACTTACTCACTTAAAGAGAACCCTTCTTAATCAGATGTAAAATATAAAGAGGAGAGGATCAGCAATGTATTATGGTCTTTGTATATCAATTTGCTCTTAATTAGATTTAATTTACAAATGGGACCTGCTACATAATACACCTTGTGTGGAAATGAAAGAGGTCATTTACTGTCACTATTTTAACAAGCCTCAGTATTTAGCAGTCATATCCTGTTATTTTTAGTACTGAAACTCACACTAATGGACTGATGACACACATGACAACAAAAGATTTGTAGGAAAACCATTTATGTTCACTAAACAATACAGAACAGAACTGTATCCACATCATTGTTTTTCCAGGAGAGGCAATACTAAATTGGCTTGTACAAGTGCAATTGCTATTGTGTTCATATATGCTCAACACTACATACAAGCTAGTGATATCTTTGTCATCTGCAGCATCTTCAGCCTTTCATACTTCCTAGCATGGTTCAGATACACACATGCTGAAAAATGTGCCCAAAACTTGCTAGTAAACATGAAGCTTCTTAAACCACCTGTGCTAATTGTTGGCTTTTTTATATACTTTGCTTTCAAATTGTGAATCCGAAGCCTGCCAATACTCTTAAAGAATAAGCAGCAATATGTACTGGCACAGCAGGTTTTCCAGAAGTTCAGGCAGCACAGATTAAAAAAAGCAGAACAGCATCACTACTACATAATACTGCAGGGAAACTAATATCTTTAAAGCACCATTCCTACCACCAGCAGAGACAGAATACTGGGCTAAATGGACGACTGGTCTGACCCAGCATGATGCTTCTTATGCTCTTATCTCAATTTCTTTAAGTGACAGCAATACAAGATACAATTCATTCTGAGAAGAAAAAACAACTCCTATCCAACCACAACTTTCTTTATTCCTAATAAAGGTCATTTGTAACCCAACAGAAACGCATATTTAAAGAAACATCAATATGACACTAACCACTAAAGTTCAGAAGCTGTCCAGAGAAATTTTAAAGGAAGAATCTGCTTGAATCTTGAAAGACTGAGATGATTCATTAAATAAACTGTGTTAAAGAGTGCAGTATCAGGCATTTCATTCATGGCATGATGTCAAGGCTCACCTTTTCACCAGAGCTTTTTGCCTGAGGGTACAACAGCAGGCTATATTGAAGTATTATTTAGGAAGTGCTTATCTATTCTTTACAATTTGTTTTAAATGTCATGTATATCACCCCAAAGTTATGGCACTCTCATATGTTACTGAATAGTAGTAGATTATAACATTTTATATTTGTATCTACATAACACAGTTGGTGGGGCTAATCCTCCAGATGCATACGCAGGAGATAAGTGCCAGCCTTCTCTTCAGATAGCCACCTGACCTCACCCCATCTCTACAGAAGGCACTCCATAGTCCTGAGGCCAATGGCTGGGAAAGGGCATGAAACATGCTGTTGTGTCTCCAACCACGCAAAAGAGGGCTGTATTATCTTTTTCACCAAGTTTCTTTGCAAGTACCAGGGCTGCTGTTAGGGATTAAAGTCAGTATTGCAGCTCAGGATGTTGCAGAGACCTCCATAGTTTGGGGCTGGGTCCCATGGTCCCTTCCTCTGGGTTAGCAAAGCCTCTTCCCCATGAACCAGTATGGTGAGAATAAACAATGAAGCCTCATTTATTTTCTCAAGAGCTGACCCCCCTAACCCAACCCCCACACCATCTCCCCTGGAAGGGATGATTTGCCTTGGGCTGTGGTATTTATTTCAAAGGTCAATATAATTGAGCTGTATTTGAAAGAGTATTTCTCCAAGTATAATACAGGCACTTCGGAAGTATTCAGATACTTACATTTTATTAACAATAAAAAATTTAAGAAGATTTAACACCATGGAAATCTTCTGCATAACATTACACTAGTACACAAAGAATATTTAGATTTTAAGAATGTGGTTCCTGGCTTGCTTCTTTGCCAAGTACGAGGCCAGGGTCAAATAACTACTCGTTAATACTGAGGCACGTGTCTACTGAAAA